CCATCGTACTCCCTCGGGGGAGATAATCTGCTTCTTTTGCAAAGAGCCTGGCCATATCCAGAATCGATGTCCACGTCGGAATAGCTGCAATTATTGTAAAGCTTAGGGCCATAAGATCGGTGACTGCCCGATCCTTGCCAAACGTGGTCGCGGCAAGAGTTCCGGTTTGGCACCTGGTGGGGGTACTCGTGCTTCTTCGATGGGTACTGCTTTTGCGACCGTCACTGCCCTGGCCATCCTCCCGCTCCTTCTTCTGCTGGCGCTGTTACTTCTGACTACGTTCGCCAATTAGTTCTGGAGGCGATTAAGGATGCTCTTCCCTCCGCTCTTGGTTCCGTGTTTACTACTGGTATGCTCTCTCGTACTCCTTCTTCCTGGCAGCTTGACTCTGCAACCTTTAATCAAATGACACGTTCACGTTCATCGTTTCGATCCCTTCGGATGGTTCTTGTTTACCCGCTCAGGGGATTAGTGATATTCATTAGTCTCGGGTTCATCTTTCGGATACTCTTTATGTGACTAAGCTTGTCCCTAGCCTTGTCTCTGTTGGGCAACTTGCAAAAGATGGTTGTCGTGCTACTTTTGATGATCATGGATGTGTTGTGTAGGACACGAAAACAGGGAGGGAGATAGGCCAAGGGACTAAGGTTGGTCGGGTGTTCACCTTGGATAGCTATTCGGGGTCCCAGCCGCAGACTAGGACTGATGAGGCTTGCGGTGGTGCTTCTGAGGCTGTTCGAGAGGGCGCTTCACTGAAGAGCAACTTTGATAATTTTGGGTTTTCTATTAAAATGTCGAATTGGGATTTATGGCATCGTCGGTTAGGTCATCCTCATTCAGCTCGTTTGTTAGAAATGTTTAAACAGAATTTATTGTCGGGTAGTTCGGCTTGCGATTCTCGTGATTGTGTTCATTGTATTGAGGCTAAACTCTCTCAGCAGTCGTTTGCGACCAGTACTATAGTTTATACAGATCCGTTTGAATTGGTGCATACAGACTTATGGGGACCGTTTCCTGTAAACTCTCGTGTTGGGTTCTGCTATTTTGCTCTATTTGTTGATCATGCTCCTCGGTTTACATGGGTTTACTTCTTACGCAACAAGTCCGATCTTATCAAGGTTGCCAAGGAGTTTATTCATATGGTTAAAACACAGTTTGGTAAATTTGTGAAGACTGTGCGCTCAGATCCAGGTGGTGAGTTTATTTTTGGACCTCTGCAGGAGTTTTTTAAGGAGCTTGGCATTTTACCGCAACAATCCTGTCCGAGTGTATCGCAGCATAATGGATTGGTCGAACGGAAACATCATCATGTACTTGAGCTGACTCGGGCTCACTTTTTTCAATCGTGTGTTCCCGCCTCCTTCTGGGTTGAGGCCATCCACACGGTTGTTCATTTGATTAATCGGAAGCTTACTCCTATTCTCGATCACAGGAGTCCTTATGAGGTTCTTTATGGGAAACGACCAGCCTATAAGGAACTAAGAGTGTTTGGGTGTGTGTGTTACGTTTTACTTCCCACTAGAGAGGATCATAAGCTCTCTCCCAAAGCCGTGAAGTGTGTATTTGTCGGGTACAGTGACAAACACAAAGGGTATGTCTGCTATGACGCCACTCAACGGCGCGTTCGTATTTCATGTAATGTTGCTTTCCTTGAGCATCTATCGTATTATGGGAATGATGATTCTGATGCTCGTCCCGATCTGGATTTTTTACATACCCTGCCTTCGTTCCCTGAAGCTGTTCCTCAGACTAAGCCTTCCGATTCTCCCACCCCTCTTCCCGACACTGCTTCCCTCCAGCTCGACGTACCACTCTCCTCGGCTAGTTCACCGACTTCTTTGTCTTCTTATAGCTCATCCGCCCACCTGGAGACGTCCGCAGCAGGCACTACTGCTCACTCCCACGGAGGAGGGTCTTCGAATAATCTTGGCCTTCAGCTTGAGGAGGCCGAGATTACTACTCTTGATCAACACTTAGAGGCGGCAGGGGAGTTTCCCCAGTTAAGGCGTTCGCAGCGTGCCACCAAGGGGTAAAAGCCTGCTCATTTGTCCGACTTTGTGGCTTTTTCGACGGAGCCAATACATGTTCCTGCAACCTATAAACAAGCACGGGGGAATCCGGACTGGGATGCAGCTATGACAACGGAGGTTCATGCACTTGAAGCCAACCGCACTTGGGACATAGTGCCTTGTCCTCTCAATGCACCTGTTATTGGTTCCAAGTGGGTGTATAATGTCAAGCTCCACCCCGATGGGTCTCTTGAACGATTTAAAGCAAGGGTTGTTGCTCAAGGGTTTCGCCAGGAGTTTGGGATTAATTATGAGGAGTCTTTTGCTCCGGTGGCCAAAATGCAGACAGTTCGCACTTTATTTGCAGTAGCTTCTATGAAAGGATGGTGTCTTAAGCAGTTGGATGTGAAGAATGCATTCTTGCAAGGGGACTTAAAAGAGACCATCTACATGGAGTGCCCTCCAAGTTATTTATCTGGTGACAAGTCGAAGGTATGCTTACTTCGTCGGTCACTTTATGGTTTGAAGTAGGCTCCCCGTGCATGGTTTGAGAAATTTCATGACACTATCCTGCTTGCTGGTTTTCGCCAAAGTAATAATGATCCATCATTGTTCCTTAGGCGTACAGATCGTGGTCTGACAGTGTTACTGATTTATGTTGATGATATGTTGGTGAGTGGTGATGATGTCATTGGTATACAGGAGCTTACTGACAATCTTCACGCAGCATTTAACTTAAAAGAGCTGGGGGGATGCTTCTTTCTTTCTAGGACTAGAGATTCATCGGTCCGCAGCTGGCATTTTGGTTAGTCAGCAGAAATATATTGCAGATCTCTTGGAATATGCTCATATGGATGAATGTGAGCCTTGATGGATCATCGTATCGCAGTCTTGTTGCGAGGTTAATCTACCTCACTCATACTAGACATGATATTTCGTATGCAGTTCAGATCGTTAGTCAGTTCATGGCCGCACCTCAGACTACTCATATGGTTGCAGTCACTCATCTATTGCGATATTTGCGTGGTACGATGGATGTTGGTCTGTTCTTTCCATCGGCTGGTGATCCGGTCATTGAGGCATATGCTGATGCTGATTATGCCGGATGTCTTGACACTCGAAGGTCTACATCAGGGTGGTGTGTGAAGGTTGGACCCTCGTTTGTTTCTTGGCGATGTAAAAAGCAGGAGAGGGTCTCAAAATCTTCGACTGAAGCTAAATATCGATCGATGTCTGAAGTCACTCTGAACTTGTTTGGCTCAGGCGACTGGTTATGGAGCTTTGAGTGTCCTGTGTGCTTCCCATGCAGCTGTATGCAGACAATACTAGTGCCATTCGGATAGCTACGAACCCAGTCCTTCATGATCGGACCAAGCATATTGAAGTGCATGTTCATTATATACGTCAGTTGGTCTCAGCTTCCGAAATTGCATTGTCTTATATTACTTCAGAAGACCAGACAGCCGACTTGTTGACAAAGGCAGTGGCAACCTCTCGTCATTGGTTTCTGGCGTACAAATTGATGATGCGTAAGCATCATCAATTTGAGGGAGGGTGTTAATTGTATTGGGTGTCAATTGTAATTAGCCTTTAATCCTTGTGTGAGTATTGGTTAATTACTTAGTGATCCTTGAGATAGGGTTTTCGGCTATGATAAATAGGTGATGTTAGCCGCTATTGTAACCTAAGGATTCTCGGATAATACAATTGACTCTGAGAGGTTACTCCTCTTCGTGGATTAGTCTTAACGTTATACGTTGAGAGGATACCACATAAATTGGTGTGCTCGTGTGATTATCCTTCTCTTGATCATATGTTTAACGGTCAGTGAGGTCCGAAAATGACCATATCACCCCTCCATTATCAATTTCTATAATTATTTTACTATGATTATTTATCACCTTGGTACAATAGTAAAAGAAAAAGAGTATAAAATGTTATTGATAAAAAAATAACTGAGTCATTATGGAAAAGGTTTGTAAATATTAAAACCGAGAACGCATTGCCTGTATGAATTCAAGTGATTTATGTATTGCTGGTCATTACTCCCTCCGTTCGGAAGATATTAAAGGGTAATGCAGGTATATGCCAAAAGGATCAGAAAGAATTGAGTGATGAATTTGGACCAATATTGATAATCAGCACCTCACACAATTACCCTCACATGGACAGGAATTGAGAAAATCGAAAGTAATTACTAGACTCAAATGTTTAATTTTAGATTGGGGAAACAAATGATAATCACGAGAAATATTGTAACAAGAATGACAAAACCGATGGGATCATCGATATGAAAACTGTTATCGACGAATTTATTAATTATCGCGATGGTCCTCAACCGTCACAATCAAATGTTGTCAAATTGATCAATTTCAAAATGCATTTGTGACAACCGTATTGATTGTAGAGACGACTCTGAGTCGTCGCAAAGAGCTATTGATATAGCTCTCCATACAAAAAATTATTTGTGACCCTCGTATTTGAAACTACAACATAGCGTTGCAAAAACGCATTTGTGATGGAATTCAGGCCTTACTCATGACGTAAACCTCTGGTTACTGGTGGCTCTCTTATTCTATTGAACGGAGCCGTCATTAAAAGGGTTTATATCCATTAAAATCTCAAACGTAGTGTCTGTACGTACTTGCATTCATTTATGTATTATTGATCATTCATTCCTCCTGCTGGAAGTCATCAAATGGTAATGCAATGTATATAAAAGGATCAGGAGGAACCGAGTCATGAATTTGTGCGAATATTAATTACTCATCATCAGTATCGATCACATTTCCCCTCACAGGGGCAAGAATGTATTTGATTCATGCATGGCCCAAATTTATGGCACGTTACTGTTGGTGATCATAAAAACAAAGCCCATTATATATAACATCGATATTTCGCTTCCTTCCTTATATCCTCCTCATCATCATACCTTATACCAAGTCTACTGTACGTACAATCCCTCCACTGAAAAGTAAAAACATGACAACCATGGCTGCTTCTCTACTATCCCTAATAATAACAATCATCATCTGCTGCAATGTAACCGCGGCAGCGCCTAATCAACCCGGCGGCGGATTCAGCGTACACTTGATCCACCGTGACTCCGCCACTTCCCCCTTGTACAATCCTAACGAAACGCCAACTCAACGACTCGGAAGCGCTCTCAAGCGCTCCATCAACCGCCTCCACCGTTTCGCTCCCAAGTCCACATCATCATCATCACTTCCCTACTCTGACGTCACTGCTAGCAATGGCGAATACCTGATGAACATCTCCATCGGAACGCCGCCGTTTCCCATCCTGGCGGTCGCTGACACGGGCAGCGACGTCGTTTGGACTCAGTGCAAGCCTTGCTCCAGCTGTTACGACCAGGACGCACCAATCTTCGACCCGGCCGCGTCTAGCTCCTACAAAACGGTGCCGTGCTCGTCCAACGCTTGCTCTTCCCTGCAGGCTGAAGGAGCCTATTGCTCCTCCTCCGCCGACGCCGTTTGCCATTACAAGGTAGGATACGGAGACCGCTCCCACACCTACGGTGACCTGGCTCTCGACACTTTAACTATGGGCTCCACCGCCGGTCGTGACGTGGCATTCCCCAAGACTCTCATTGGCTGCGGCCACGACAACGCTGGCACGTTCAACCGCAACGGGTCCGGTTTGGTGGGACTCGGACGCGGGTCGGCTTCTCTGGTGACCCAGCTCGGCTCTTCTATTGGCGGGAAGTTCTCCTATTGTCTCGTTCCATTCGGCTCGGAGAATAGGTTGACCAGCAGCATGAACTTTGGTCAAAATGCTGTCGTTTCGGGTGCCGTATCGACTCCGTTGTTCTCCCATGTGTCACAGCCGACTTTCTACTTCCTCAAACTGGAAGCCGTGACCGTTGGAAAGGAGAGGTTGGCATTTGGAGGATCTTCTGTCGTCGATGGTGAAGAAGGGAACATCATTATCGATTCCGGGACGACGGTTACTCTCGTCCCTTCCGATTTCTTCGCGCAGCTGTCGGATGCGGTGGACAGCCAAGTCGTCGGCGGGGAGAAAGCGAGGGACCCACAAGACTTCTTGAGCCTTTGCTACGTGGCGGACTACTCCCGTCTCCAAGTCCCTCCGATCACGTTTCACTTTCAGGGAGCTGACGTGGAGCTGACTCGTGATAACGCTTTCGTTCAGGTCAGCGATACGGTGACGTGTCTGGCTTTCTACGGGAGCGACGATGCTTCCATTTACGGCAACGTGGCGCAGCAGAACTTCCTCATTGGCTACGACCTTCAGAAGGGGACTGTGTCATTCAAGCCAACTGATTGCGCAAGGAACTGATCATTATTGAATTATTTTATAGTTAATTAAATTTGCAGTTTACAATCATTTTCTGTACTGATCGATCGGATGGTTTACTTTTCATTGTTGGGGATTTGTCATGAACTATTTTACTTTTCAATTAACATTCTGGCGGATTAATAAATCTTCTCCTTTTCTCTACACCAAAGCAATTTGATTAACTACATAACTTAAGGGATTATCATGGATCATGCATAAGTTAAATAACTATTATACCAAGCACTGCATGGATATATATATATGGTGGCTACTTTGGTGCACTGTTTTTTTTTTTGGTGTACTGATATCTAAAAGTGTTCATAATACATCAAATTTTGAACTTTAATTAGTACTCTCAATCTAATATGATGATATGACATAGAATTATAACAAATCAATCTATTACCCTAACCCCCAAAACCTTCAATTTTGAATCCCAATGCAAAATCCAAAACTGTAAACCTAAACCCTAACCCTAAACCCCTAAATCCTAAATCCTTCAAATTGAAGTAAATCTTAAATAATTTTTTTTCAAATTCATGTGTTTCTTGTTCATAATATCATAAGCAAAAATTGATCGCATGCTCAGAATGATGATTATGAGGTGGGTGCACTGAGTGCACCCAAAAAGTGGGTGCGCCAAATACGCCACCATATATATATATATTGCCTTCGACGGTACCACAGGTGAAATTTGGGGTACCGCATACCTTGAGTATGAAAATGCTATCTAGACCTCGAATTAACAGGATTTTTGGGCATGATACTATACCCTAACCCTTAATGAGTGAACCCTAGGTCCTAATTATCTAAATCATAAACTATAAATCCTAAGACGGTCCATTGAATTTTTTGCCTATATTTGGACGAATCATAACCGTCGATTATTGTTTATAATTAAATTAAACTTGGGGTATAAGATTTAGAGAATTAAGACCTAGATTTTGATTTTTAAGTGTTAGAGTATAATATCATGTTCGAAAGATCAGTCAATTCAAGTGTTGATGAGAAGAATACGATAACGGAAATGCTCAACACCGATTTACGTGGTATCCCTGGATGAACCAGGACTAATCCAGCGTGAAGACTCCTCTGCTACTAATTTTACTGATGGTAATAGTGTTAACTTACAATGATAGCCGACTATAGAATATAATCCCCTAGCTTGGCCGAACCCTAGCTCCCTTAGGTTTTCTACGTAGACAACACCTAAAGTGTATGGGCTGCATGAGCCTTGAATGCTATTGGGCTATATCTCTACGTACACCTACTACTACAATACACACGAGGCTAATATACAATCAACAGCCTCCCCCAAATTGATGCATGGTTAACAACATCGATTTGCTAGACAGAAACCAATGCCGGCTTGAGCAAAACGACTTCTTGAAAAAATGGGCAACTTGATCCTTTGTGTGTATGTAATGGAGTGTGACTGTACAATCTCGCACCATATCCCGAACATAGTGCACATGTATCTCAATGTGCTTGGTTCTATCATGAAGTACTGGATTCGCTGCAATGCGTATAGCACTAGTATTATCTACCATCACTCAAGTAACCGCCGCATCCCTACCAACTCAGACGTGACATCAGACATAGCTCTGTATTCTGCTTCAGTAGATGACTTGGAGACCTTATCTTGCTTCTTACAGCGCCAGGAAACGAAAGAATCGCCAAACTGAACACACCGGCCAGTAGTAGAACGTCGTGTATCAACACATCCTACGTAATCTGAATCAGAAAAAGCTCGCAGTCTAGTCATCCCACTCGAAGAGAATAGTATCACGACGTCTTTAGTGCCTTGAAGATATCTTAATATCCTATGTACAGCCGCCAGGTGATCCACACAAGGATTAGACATAAATTGACTCACCAATTGTACTGCATAAGAAATATCAGGTCGAGTGGCCGCTAAGTAGATTAAACTGCCCACTATGCTGCGATACTGCGAACCATCCTTAAGTAGCTCACCAGACTCCCTACTGAGTTTCAAATTAAGTTCCATAGGAGTAGATACCGGGTTGCAGTTCTCAAAGTTCTGATCATGTAACAAATCAATAATATACTTCCTTTGACATAGAAGTATCCCTTTAGCACTGCGGGAGACTTCCAATACAAGGAAATAAGACAACTCACCTAGATCTTTAACACTAAAAGTAGCTTGAAGACCTTCTTTAATTCGACGAATACCCACAGAATCAGAACCAGTAATAATCATGTCATCGACGTATAGTAGAAGAACAACAATACCTCAAGAAGAAGTCTGTGTCAAGAGAGACGGATCATTCAGACTCTGATTAAAACCAGTTCCACCAGCTTTGACGAAAATTTCTCAAACGAAGCTCTCGGCGCCTGTTGAGACCATATAACGACCGATGCAGTAAACAGACTTGGCCAGGAGTTCGAACATGATACGCAGGCGGACGTTCCATATATATATGACTTCATCCAAATCGCCGTGCAGGAATGCATTTTTGACATCGAGTTGAAGAAGTGGCCAATTCTTCTGTGCTGCAACGGCAAGCAAAACTCGGACAGTCGACATCTTCGCAACAGGAGCAAATGTCTCATCATAGTCTACCCCCTGCTCCTGTGTGTAACCGAGAGCCACAATTCGTGCCCGATGTCTCTCGATCGTACCATCGGGATTGACCTTAATTGTGTAGACCCATCTGCTGCCAACAGTAGGGGTGTCGGGAGAAGGACGATCAACGAAAGTCCAAGTATTGTTGGCGTGCATAGCATCGGTCTCACAATCCATTGCAGCCTCCCATACTGGATTTCCTTGAGCTTGCTTGTAGGAATTTGGAATGTGAAGAGCATCAACAGTGTGAGTAACAAAATCATTATACCTTGGCGGTGGTAAGCCTTGTGTGAGGCGCAAAGAACGGCGGAGCTGGGGGTGATTATCGACAGGCTGGGGTGGCGTAGAAGCTAGGGCAGATGAAGCAGTGGAGGACAAAGTGGAGCCAGGTGAGTTTCCTGAGCTGGCGGTGATAGTAGCGACTGTGGGGGAGACTCGGCATCATCAGGAGAAAGTAATGGAGGGTCATCGGTAGGCTCATCAAAAGAGAAACTGGGCAAAGATTAAAAACCGGGAAAGACAGACTCGGACTTCGACAGACGCTCAAAGTAAGGTAAATGTTCAAAGAAAATGACAGAGGCTGCAATCCTAATACGCTGGGTGGTAGAATCATAACACATGTAACCCTTATGAACATCACTATACCCTAAGAAGGCACAACGAACTGTTTTGGAAGTTAATTTGGTTCGTTCTCGTTTAGGCAGAAGAACGAAACATAAACAGCCGAAGACATGGAGACGGGAAAAATCAGGATGACGGGAGTAAAGAGCATAGTATGGACTAATGTTACCAAGAACAGTCGTGATTTGATAATTTATCAGTTTCACTGTAGTTGCTACAGCGTCAGGCCAAAAACGACATGGAACAGAAGATGAAAGCAGGAGAGCTCTGGTAAGTTCCAAAACATGACAGTTTTTACGTTCCACTAGGCCTATCTCTTTCTCAATCTTTGGGTTCGTATTGCTCTCTCCCAATTCACTACCAACCTGGTACCAAGCCAAAACAATAATGAAAAGATGAAAGCTTTCCACAAGAAATTTCCAACAACAACTTCGGGAATGGGTTGACTTGCCGTCATATAGAATTGTTCCGAATCATTTCCCTCCGGTGAGTAGTGCTAGCTTGGGTGGCTTGTCCTCGATCACTTGCATGTGGGATGGGACGGTACGAGCTAAGTCCCATTTTGCAGGAGGGATGATCCTGAAAAATGAAGGAGGTTCCATTGTTTTGGCTTGGGGAGTATCCTTTAAGGATAATGACAATACTGCTTTAGTTGAGACCCTTGCTCTCTTATTTTTTTACAAAAGATATTCATTAGAGAACCAAGAACAAAAGGTAGTTACACCCTAGAGATCAGCCAGGCCTGAAAATCAAAATAACGACTCGTAGTCGGGTACAAACTGAGGGCTTTGCGAGCCACCAAATGGGCTACCCTATTGCTACTCCGACCTACAAACCGAACACTAAGCTCATTATGACATGAAAACGTCCTGATTAACTCCTCCAAAACCGCCCCTACCCTGCTATCTCGCGCATCCCGCCGATTAATCTTATCAATTAACACCTAAGCATCCCCCTGACAACAAACCGACAGAAATCCAAGCTCCAGACACCAGCGCACCGCCACACGAAGGACCAATAACTCCGCCACCAGCGGGTCATCAGTATCAGGGAATTGCAGGCCACAGACCATAAGAATGCTTCGAGCGGAATCCTTAAGCACAATCCCCCCAGCCGAGTGAGAGCCAGAACTCGTTGCCCCATCCCACATACAAGTAGCTGCGTGGGACGAGCTATCCACCCCCTCCTGACCAATGGCTAAGGTAGGGCCGGGAACCCGATCCGCCGGCAGAGAGACCCATTCCTGATACTGCTGGTGAAACTTCCTCAAAAGAGCCGGGATGCCAAATTGCTTACCCTCAAACACCACCCAATTACGGGACCGCCATATCCTCCACAGAATCCCCATTACCAAGATACGCCAATCCTGATAGCTCCCATAGTGCACGAGCTACTGGGCAATCGAGGAATAAATGTTCCATTGTCTCCTTCTCAGCCCAGCAGACAGGGCACCGCGGCAGAACCTCCACATCCTTCTCAATCAAAGCTTCTGTCGTGGGGAGGATTCGAAGGAAAATTTGCCACAGAAACACTTTCAGCTTAGGTTGGATATTGGCATCCCACAGCCGGATCCAACAGGTTTGTCCATCCAACAAACACTAGACCTCCAACCCCCAATTCGTTTATTCACCGGACCGCCAAATGATAAGCCGATTTAACAGTGAAGCTCCCATCCCTCGTCTCATGCCACACTAACTTGTCATCGATATCCTCACGGGGGAGAGGTACAGCTTTAATGGCGCGACAGGTGTCTGGATCAAACCATCGACCAAGCTCATCTTCATTCCACTTA